ATTACGACATTTACTATTCAAAGTGACTTGAAAACTCCTTTAATCAATAGTTCAACTCGAATTGTAATATTATGGGCTGATTCAATTTATACATCTTTAATTTTACAATATGCTCTTGATTACAATGTACTTGGTCCAAAGTTCATATGGATATTAAGCTCAAATGCTCTATTGAATTCTTTTAATCAATCATTCTATCAAAACTTAATTGGAATACTTACTATAGAACCTACAGTAGGAGCTATTGTCAATGCATCAATAAATACAACATTATTAAATGCAGCATATAATATTTGGCAACAATATGAACCTGAATCATTTCCTGGAGCAGCAGAAGTGAATTATTATGCGCTATTTGCATTTGATGCAACTTGGTCATTAATTCAATCATTACAACAACTTTGTTCAATAACTACAAATAGTTCTTCATCATGTATATCAATTCTCAACTCTTCATTCTGTTTTGATTATCGTGTTCTTAATGCCAACTCTTTTTTTGATACAATTATTAATACTGAATTTCTTGGTGTATCTGGTCCAATACAATTTAGTATCAATGTAACAGATCGAATAAATGGTAGTTATTATTTGCTACAAAATGTTCAACCTTCTTCTAATAGTGTAGCATATGTGCCAGTATTGAAATGGTCTGATTCTAGCAATTGGACAGAATATGCATTAACAAATCTAATTGTATGGCCTGGTAATTCATCAATACCGCCTACCGGTCGTGCACTACTTTCAAGTATCAGTGTACGGATCGGTATTATTGAATCAGCTCCATTCACGATGATCAATTCTACAATAGATGAAAATGGACAAATCACAACAAAGTATGTTGGTTATATACCTGATCTTATTGATCTTTTACAGGCGAAGATGGGATTTATTCCTAATCTTATACTAACACCTTCAAATCAAACCTATGATCAAATAATCCAAGCAGTGAAAAATGGTCTCTATGATATAGTGGTAGGTGATGTCACAATTACTGCTAACCGAAGAAAATCTGTTGCTTTTTCGCGTTCAATATTTGATAATTCTTTACGTCTTATTCTTCGAAAACAACGCCCTGTTAGAGTAGATCTTGTATCTTATTTGAAGCCATTCTCATTGAAACTCTGGATGCTAATCTTGGTTTCTCTTATCTATGCTGCTGTCTTAATATGTCTAATAGAACGACAAAATAATGAATCCTTGCAAGATAGATCAATAATTTCATCATTTGCAATGAGTTTATGGTATTCTATTGGGAATCTGATGGGATATGGTGGTGATATGCAACCTTCAACAGCGGCTGGACGCTTATTAACTGTTGGTTTATACCTTTTAAGCTTGATATTAGCAGCAACATATGTTGCGAACTTAGCATCTAATCTAACATTAACTAAATCCGCGAATATGATTTCTGGAATTGATGATATTAAAAATGGCGAGATACCATATAGTAAAATAGGTATTCGCTTAGGTACAGCTAGTGAAGATTATTATTTACAACAAATCTCTGCATTCAGTCGAAATTTTCGTGCATTAAAATCTCAACAAGACCTATACGACAGTCTACTCAGTGGTGTCATCGATGCATCTTTTTTGGATAGCGGTGTTGCAGAATATATAACTAATAATGTATATTGTAATTTAACTTTAGTTGGAGCAGATTTTGATAAGAGTGAATTCGGTATTGTTATTCCTAAAGATTGGGCATATGAGCAAGATTTAGATGTAAATATATTAGCATTAAGAGAATCAGGTGAACTTGATCGTTTAGAAGAGAAATGGTTTCAAAAAAATGGTTGTCCTGATTCATCTAATTCACCTGATTCATCTGATGAGTCTGCTCTTCATATGAGCATCGAAGCAATGAGTGGATTATTTGTTACATATGCAGTCATTACCATTCTATCATTATTATTATTCGCATGGACAAAAAGGTTTCTTATAAAAGATATTATATTGAAACTAATGCGTCGAAAGGCTTTATTAGTCGAACCAAATGTTTCCGAAACAAGACATTCCAGTAAAACCTTTAAAGCGTCGCAAGTCTCCCAACGATCTTCGTTCAATATAGTGCATTTTTAAATACGATAATGTCTTTACTTTGAAGAACGCACTTGAAATTCTAATGAACTCAAATACATAATTAATCGATAGTACATTCTTTTTGCTGTATTTAATACGAAGCGAAAAGACTTCGAATTAACTTCTTTGGCATTTTTACTTTGGGTGACACGACTGTTAATGAGTGTTAGAAGCATATAGCGAGAAATTCAGACTCATCACATCCCTGAACATATACTGATTCTTTAGAAACAACTCTACCTCGATATAAAATTTTCATGCTCATTTACATTGTCTTCTAACATATAGGAAAAAGAATATGTAGATATATCCCCTCCTCCCCCTCACAGAAAAGAAGCCCACTGGGCTTGTAATTTGTTTTGAAAATTATAAGTTTGAAGGTGGGCTTCAATTATGATCAATTTTTTTCACTTTGTAAAGCCGTGTATATAAGTGTTAGAAGGTATTATAGTTACAATTTCATGTATTTTCATCATTTCGTTTATTTACATAACTTTATATCTTTATTACAAAAACCTTCAAGATAATTTCACATGGGTAAATACTACATGTTTCATGATTTTATCACCGAACAAAAAAAACATCGCATAATATAGCAAAAAATACCATATAAAATAACAAAAAAAAAATACAATTAAGAAGAGTCATTTTTTCCAAAATGAAAGCAATGTACTTTGTTTTAAAACTTTGACTGGCTCCTTAACACTTACTTCATCTATTTCTTCTACTAAACTAGTTTTATCTTCAATATCATTTCAGAAATTCAAAGATTCCAGATCAGAAGAATAACCTGGTAAAGATTTGATTATTACTACGCTATCATTATTCCAAGTGTAGCCTAAATCTCGAAAGCTTTTAGTAAAGTTTACACTTTTTAATATTTGTTTCCAAGCTGTGCTTGTTAAACGAGCACACAATATTCTTTACAGTGAAGAAGTAAGTTTAATGGTAGGTCTTGGCCCATTAACTTCTATCTATTCTTCAGCAGCATCATGATAATGTGTTTTAAAAACACTGAAAACAGATACATCTAAGACTTGAATGTATTGTGTAATTACACTTGGTATTATTCCTAAAACTACACTATTTTTTTAAATAAAGCTTTAACATCTTCAGTAAAATGAGAACCACAGGAAGCTGTAATAAACATTTTCGGACGACCATCTCTTGTTTTACTTAACCAATGTTGAGTATAGTTTTTCATGATAGACGAATTGATGAAAACACTAGAACTGAAATAAACTATGGTGGTTTTATCATATTCTTTTTTTTCTTTTTCGGATATGTGTCCTTTTCGTTTAAAGATTATTGCTGATCCTACTCGACTATTATCATCTCCAAAAGCACTAAGTATCAAAGTACAAAATCTTTCGTTATTAAAACAACCTTCAACGTCATTTGATGTATTTACATAATTTATGCTGATTTTACTTTGATTGCCAAAGAAAGCAAGTGGACTTTCGTCCACGTTGCAAATGTTACGATCGGGAAATGATCCTGACACACCTAAATTTAATATTCGAGACGCACTTTTTCTTGCAAATGTTGAAAATTCAGTAACCTTGCCATGAGCTTCAGGAAGTGTAAGTTTATGCTGCCATTTTGACTTTTGCAAGGATAAGTTATGTCGTTTTAGAAAACAACAAAACCAAATTTTCGATTGATATGATTGAATCTTTAAAGAAAGACATATTCTCTCACCTTGACGTACTATATTTTTGAATGTGATTCGTTTTTTTCTATTTCTATGGGTGATTTTGATTTTTTGTCGTCGGGATCAGGACATTTTGATTTAAACCATTATATTAGCTGTTGATCAAGTTCTTTGTGACAAATTTTTGCACCAGCACCTTTTAAACGTTTCAACTTTTTTCCATTTTTTGCACCCTTGATAAGTAATAGTTGTTGTTCTTTTTTTAACCATTCCCGAAACTATTTTCTATCACAATGATGTTGTCGGCTAACTTGAGAAATATTTTTGCACTTTTTAAATGCATTGATAGCATTTAGTTTTTCTTGAACAGTTTAAGATCGACGTTTTGAAGAAGAATCTTCGATAGATTTTTCGTTGCCGTAATCAGATTAGTTGTTGTATCAATCATGGAAGATATTGAAATGACAATTTCAGCTTGTTGTTGATCATCATCTTCTTCATTGTCTTGTAATCCGTTGGTAATATCCGATAAATCTATTACATTATCAAGCATTTGAATAACATTTTCAATTACTTCGTCGTCTAAACTAATTGAAGAGTCAGACTCGATTTCAATTTCTTGTGTTAAAGAATGTAATGGTAATAGGTGAGTTTCTTCCATTCCAAATAAGTTTTTATTCACAACTTGAATGAAATTGAATTACTGTTACGAAGTAATAGAGGATTAACGTTGCAATACAAATATTAAAATGTGTATATTATTGTTTTTAAATCGCAAATTAGAACACAGAATAAAAAAAATTATTCTTTCCATACAAAATTGTCGACGGTCACAACTGACGAACGAAGTTCAATAGTTCAAGAAGAAGATATACACAAAACGAAAGAAATACTTAGGGCATACCAAAAACCTTTACGGTTCTATATCAATTTCTTATAGAATGCTTGAAGAAATTTTCTCTTTATAT